CGAGTAGGCTATTAAAATGTTAATAACCATCTTTAAAGAACTGACGATGATGCACTATATATACACATTTTGCAGCGGCGTTTTAGTTTTAGAATTTAGTCTCACACAACCCTTTAAAATTTACCGATCCCAAAGGTGTGAGAAATCGAGATTAGAAATGGCATATATTTAAGGGAACAAAGACGTATAAAGCGAAATTCCACGGACCGTCATAAAAAATGATCGCGGTCACTAATTATAACAAGAATATTCTGAAACTTTCTCCCACACCGTTTGCAAAATGAGAAAATTTTTTGTTTAGTTAGGTATAATTAGAAACGTTCCAAAAAAAAGTGTTTTTTTTTATTTTTGTCAGAATTTATTTTAAATCTTTTATGCCTTCAAGTTGATATAACTGACGCTTAAGGGGGGAACACCAGTTGTAACTCAACAAATAATGCTTTTTACAAGAATATTTTCCAAAAGAACAATGAATCTTTTTAAAGAATACTATTTATTAGTTAAAAGTACATGTAAAAAGCTGTAATTTAAAAGAAAAAAAAAAAATTTTTTAACAAAAACTTTTGGAGATATGAGCAATTGAAGTGGCGCCTTAAGAAAAAAGGCGAATTGCGGTGACCAGCATTCTGCAAGTATACTTCGTCTGAAATACAAAAATGAAATTGATTTACATTTATTATAAGATTATCTAGTTCGTGATCGAAGGATTTAAAAAAAAAAAATTTTGACAAAATGGCGACCTGTCAAAGTCAAAAGTATGATTTTCGTTAAAAAAATACGGTCGATTTTCAGCTATATAAAAAAAAGTTTTGCATAAAAAAAAAATATCCTTCGATCACGAACTAGACTTATATGTGTAAATGAAGCACACTAAATTTTAAATAAATCGGTTTAATGGTATTCGAGTAATCGTGGTCACCGACTTGGAAAATGTCATTTTGAGAAAAACGCATTCAAAGTTTCAACTTACTTTTTTTTGTTCAGAAGAAATTTTGTTTCCAAGTTACAAAGAGTCATCGATTCCTGGACCATATAATAACTCTTCCGCAGTGATTGCCGATTCTAAAATGCCAATTTGCTGCCATCTTTCGTTAGGGTCAGGTATGGCTGGCCACCTTGTATGAAGCCACGGGACGCGCCGCTGCAGTGTTCTGTATATCTCATTTATTTTTCACCGGATCAACTTTGAAATTTACAGACACATTTCTAAATATGTATACTTTAAGAAAATTCACAAAAAAAATCGATTTTTCGAAAGTTACAACTGGTGTTCCCCCCTTAAATATGCCTATAGTGATGAAATTCCTATAAATGCAATAATAAATTATACATAATTTATTATTAAAAATTTTTTTTATGACATTAACGTTGTTAATTTAGAAAAGTTAATTTATAAAATAGAAACAATAACCTTTGGAAAAAGATTTCCTAAGGTTTTTTGCAAAGTTTTCTGTCCACGACACATGTAACATGAAAATTCTACCCATCTCACTTCAGCCCCCCCCATGAAGACACTTTCGATGGCTAGAAACATGTCCAGATCGCGCCGGCAGAGGTTGAGGTCCGCAAAACTGGTTTTCCGTTATCTTAAGACTTTCGAGAGGTATTCGCTAATGCGCCCCTTAAGCTTGGCAAAGCTACTGAAAATGGTGTTCGGCGCGGTCTAAAGTGTGCTCAAGTTGCACGTGCAAGTATATATATATATATATATATATATCCCTGAATGCTCACGCGATGTGAAGATCTATCTATCCATCGTTTCCCTTGCTCTCAAGCTGAAGCGCGTCAGCATTAGGAACCGTTTCGTGCGCCGGGGTCGTCGAACTTATTGAACCCTTTCGAGGCAATGAATTCTCAGTTAGAAAATGATCATTCCACGTTCCTACCGATAAATGATCTTGTTCCATAGGACTTGATCTGATTTACGTGAGCGCGCATCTATTTCAATTTTTCTCCCGAGAGTTATTTTACAGGCTCGCAAGAGATATCATTCTGCATTAGCCTATGTTCTTCATTCTCAATATATGATCAAATCTCACCCTAATGTATATTGTATATGTAAATGACGGATGAATATTGTCTACATATACCAATGTCATGAGAAAATTCTTGAATTCAATCATATAATGCTCAATCCATTTCTTTCACGAAGTGTTTTGTGTTTTTTTTCAATTGATGATATTTCAGATGAGAATTTCTTCTTTTACATCAATTCCAAGTCAACAAAAAAGTCGTCTAATGTTCCAATGATGTTGCATCGAATAAATAAAATTAATGCAAGACTATTCATGGTCAGGATAATTTTTTTGGGGTAATTAAAAAGTATTTTGTACCACTTTAGAGGTAAAAGTGAATTTGGTAACAAAGAGTAACTTCGTAGTGTAGTTAAAGGATTTCAGATCAGTGGATACCTCGTTAAATTGTTCATATAAATGTGAGAATTCAAATTAATGAGTGTATGTAATTAATTCATTATAATGAATTACTGGAAGTAGAAGCGTCCCATGAATTTCCTTATACGATGACAATATAACAAAACACATATGCAGGCGTGATCACTGGTCACAACGATATTAAAATTTTAAGTCCCTTGATAATTTCCCTCGCAACTGTTATCTTACCCTTTTTACCTAAATTTCTATAGCTTCAGCAGAAATTGTGAAAATTTTATAATGCAAAAAAAGAGAAGGGATTTTTAAGAATGATCAGCGCTATATGACACAAGACCCTACTAAAGAAGATATAGTTTGACAAAGAACAATATTCAGAGAATTGCTTTCATTTTCATTAGAAAACTAACTTTTTTTATAATGAATAATTTATGATTAAACACTAAAGCTTACAAGATTTAACCTGTGTTGTTTGGTCTGATAATTATTTCGGTTTGATAAATTTTTTAGAGTAACATCAATCATTACACAGTTTCTGCTGCATCCATTTTATCATCAAGGTCTTCAATAGGATCGTCATTGATGTCATCAGAATTATCTTCTTCATTATCCTGTTTCATATTGGAGTTGATCATCAATTAGGATCGTCTCTATGAATATCTGTTTTTCGTTAATCTCCATCGTTAACTCTCCATATATTCGTATCACTACTCTGATATCTGAATTTTTGCACTGGCATAACTGCTTCCTAGATCTGGATAACTCTCTAGATATCTTCAAATTTTAGCTCTAAATTCTAAAATACTTCTGTTCCTTTAAAATCATAATTGTTTTAAGGACATTTTTTAATAATTATCGACAGCTACAAAAGTGTATATAAAAATTGAATTAGCAAAATTTTACTCTTCGAGAGTAGTTGGGAACACGTGCAATTTGTGGTATGCATATATATACATTGTCATCCCATGGATTTCGCAAGGTGCGTTTAAGTAACCTGGTGACACGTTTGTCGAGACGTTATCGCAAACGATGTGAAATGCGTGACGACAAGACATTCTTGCTTTTGCGAGAGAAACAGAAAAAGAGAGAGAAAGACTCACAACACAAGCTTAAAATATGTAATGCGTTCCTTCACACTGAGTTGTAAAAGTCGTAACGTAAAGATAAAGGCGCACGCAGCAATAAAAGCTAGCGCCTCTCACGATGAGAGTTGCGGTCGGTGAGATAGTGTTTTAAAATGATAGCCAATTTTATCATCGTCAATGCTAACTTCCAGCCAAGGGAATCGTAGCATTTATTCTGGTATGAACTGATTACAGATGAACTTGCTCATTCTATGTTAAACGTGGTATTCATTTATTGGAATAGTTGTTTCAAAATTCCTCGCTTTCAAATGGTAACACAACTTTCAAAGATAGTGGAAGTGTTTGGTAAAAAAATAATAAAATACAGCAGTAATAACGTTAGCCATGGAAATGACTAACGTAGCAACTATCTGCAACAGTTGCCAAGGGAATTACTGTAATTGTTTTTAAAAACTCTTACTATGGCGACAATGATGTTTTAAAATGAGCTAATTTTGAGGATCTTGTAATAATTAAAATGCTAATAGAATTTTCAGAAACGTTCTCAAAAATAAAGATATTTCAACGTCTGGAATATTAATTCTGAACACCGCCTTATGATCAGAAACGAATCGAGTATTGCGATTGTGGAAATGTTGGGCTTCGGTAAAAATTGCTATATGATCAAAGCAGCAGGTGAATCAATCTCTTGATATCTCATGCGTATCAAAAGCCAAGGGTATACAATATACTTCGCTGGCGTGCACCCGGGCAATTTAGCGTCGATATATATATATATATATACATATTAAACGCGCTTGCACTAAATCAATGGAGTCGGGCGCCAGGTCTCTGATGTTTCAAAAGTCATCTCGGTCAGTTTTTGCTGACAGGAAGTGTAAGCTAAGTGAAGGTCGAGCGTTCCTATACATAGAATGAAGAGAAGGGGGTAAGGAAACGATGGATGAAGAGAAAAAGGAGGAGAAAAAAAAAGTAGCGAACAACGCTTCTTCGCTGTGTGGTCTTTTCCTATACTTGCCAATGTTTCACAGTGTGGGTGTGACCGCAACCAACAACGTGAATAGGCACTTCCATGCTTCTGGGAAGGAAGAAGGTGGTGCCAGGTCATTCCCCGTCGATTCCCCTCAAGAGCGAGACTCACGAGAGAAGAAATCGTGAAGCGATACGCCCTTTTTCGCCCCAGCCACCGTGTACACTTTGTCGTCTCGTCACTGTCAGTGTTTGTCGACTGAGAAAATTCACATTGGTCCCGGTTACGTGAATTATCAGTCGTGGAATATATCGTTCATTTTTTTTTTTTTTTTCTTTATTATTAACGAACCGTGATAAAATCTCATGGGAAGCATAATCAACTATATATATATATGTGGAAGCTTAATTTATTTACACTTTCACATATTACATTAACACATATAATGTAACGTAAATTTTTATTCTTTTGTAAAAAAAATTTATTAACTTTAAAAAAATAGCGGATCCAAAGTGGTGGTTTGAATTTTTAAAAATTATTAAGTTTTTTATAAAATTTCTTTTTAAATATTTATTTGTTAATAATTAAAAAACATTTTAATGATTTATTTTTGTATATCTAATTGTATCTTAATTTGTATATTTTAATTTACAGTCGTAGGCGGTATTTGTTGTTCGATATTTATTTGTTGTGGAAATTTTTTTTTTTTTTTTCAATCATCTTCATCATTTAAGTCAGTATTAGCACACTTTTGTACATCTGGCGTGAATATTTTTTCTCCCTGCTCATTCAGCACTTCCTTGCATTTATTTAAATCCGGTATCATTCTTTCGACTATTTCAATGATCGATCTACTATTACTATAAACCACTTCGTATTTTTTGCTTTCGTTAAGATATGACTGAAAAATAAAAATTCTTACAATTATTTCCGTACTTTGTTTTCAAAAAAATGTTCTTCGCTAAATTGTAATTCTTAATCAGCATAAATCTTAAAAATTTGTCAAATTTCAATGAAATATGTATTTTTAAAGTTCTTTAGGGTTGCTGATTAAAAATCCGAAGTCAATTTTTAAAAATTCAATATGACGGACGACGAAATTAAAAATCATTTCATTATTATTATAAAATATGCTTACATTTAGTATGTAGTCGGAAACATCTAAAAATGCTTTTCGCCTTTCTTGATAAGATCCTTCAACTCCAAGAATAAAGGCTTCGTTACTATTGATTGTCTCTTCAACATTATTAATAGTGATATTCAAATTATCCACAAAAAATTTATAACTCTCTTTAGCTTTTTCTAATTTTGAAATTTTGAAATTGAATTTTCCAAAAACAATTTCATTACACTCTTTTGCTTGTTCTAGAGAAGAATTTCCCAAATTTACAAAGTTCTCATAAATAATTAAACATTTATTGTTATTTTTTCCATTTAATCTCATGTTAACGTTATTAAGCACCTGCGTGAAAAAAAACAACACTTTAGGCAATTTTTATTTTTTGCATAAATATTTAAATTATACACATTTTATTTATTATTCATTAGTAATGAGATATAATTAATAAAATATAGAATTAGTTATTAATAAAATAATGAAATAGTAATAATATTCTTAATAATAATTAATATTAATATTTAAAAAGTAATATTAATTTTATGTATTAAACTACTTACGATACTTGTATGCCTATAAAAAGCATTACTGAAATTATTTAAAAAAGAAATTTTTAATTCAGCTTGACTGACATTTTTTCCTAATTCATCAAAATCGGTGAATGATGAAAAGAGGGAATTTTTCATTTTCCACAGATCCTTCATGTCTTGAATATCGTAGGAAAATGCATTCTGAAAATTTACATACGTATATATATATAATTTTATAAAGAAAGTGAACAAGAAAAATGAATATATTATCACCGACAATTAAAAATTCATTAAATTATGCTTTTATTAATAAATTTTTAATAGTTATTATTGAAAAAAAATTCTTACCCCAAACAAGAGAATTGCACAAACGAAGAATATCATTTTGTACATAGAAATGTATTTTTCAAATTGTTTAATTTTTTTAAATCACAACTTTTACAAGTAAAATTATGACCCATTTATATACTTTATATTGAATAGTGACAATTATGATATTTTTATTTTATTCTGTTTATACAAAAGAAAAAAATTATTAAAAATTAATTACCAAAGAAATGGTTTGCTTTATTCTCAAAAAGCGATATAGTTGATTATTTACTTAATTTAATGCATAAAAAATACAATCTATTGATTATAATGTTTCATATTTAAATTTTTTCTGAATACATTATGACATTGCTTTGAAATTAAAAACACTAAATTTCTATTACAACACTATATTATAATTTTTTAAATAAATTCCACTTTGAACAAGTGTTATTTTATTTTTGTTCTGTATTGATGGTGAATAAATATCTTCTATTGAGCATTACTCTTTTCTTTATTTGACACGACATAAAACCTATATATCTGGAATTTAGCTGTAATTCTGTATTTTGCCAGTACGGGCAAAATTATAGTAACCAGTAATAAGCCAGCACTGGTAGATATTCAAAATTTAGGGTTCTTTTTGCTTTTTACAAAAATACACAATTTTCACGTCTATGAAGTTGGCGTCGACGCTCAACGTCGAAAATTATTTTTCACGGTACCAAAAATAACAAATTATTTTTAAAAAAACTTTTGGGTTCACATAATACCTTAAAAAGTATTTCTTAAGGCATTACATATTTGGAGCAAAAATCTTTAAAAAAAAAAAAAAAAAAAAAATTTTTCCATACATTATTCTAGATTATGCCAAGAGTCAAAAACATTAGTACAAAAGTAGGAAAATTGTATAATTTTTCTGGAAATCTTTTCGGTGTTATAGAGTAAGTCCTGGGGAGTTGACCATAGTTTTTTTAAAGGTTTGTAAAAATAAAAAGAAAGTGATTTATGTATTAACTTTTATTGCTAATTAATAACATTGAACATTTAACTTACAAATAATAATAGAAATGATAAATTTTTTAAATGTAAACAATCTTAAAATTAATATTTTTGAAAAAACGCGTTTGGCCATCTCTCCCAGAATGTACAGGGGATATGGCCATACGGGAGTGATGCCCAATACTTTAAAATCAATCTTTAGCTTTTCGCCTTTATCAAAATTTTTAATTTAAAGGGATTAAAGTCTTCTTTTCTTCTTCTGACCACATTTCGAACATTTATCATTAAATGCAGTGCAATTTTCATGAATCCCAAGGTGATAATCATTCCACTGAATCCAGTCTTCGATTAGCGCTGTCTGTCTGTCTCACCAACACAACATGGCAACATGGTATTTTTTTTGAGATATTAGAATGGTTTCCAATTTATTTTTGTATCCTGAACTCGAGTCCGGGTTCCAAAATTGCGTATTAAGTCAGGATTTTGAGTAAAGTGGGGGTAAAGTATCCAAAAACCGTGTTTTTGAGGGTTTTCAGGATTTTTTTTCTCCTTAACGCAATTTTGGAACCCGGGATCGTGTTCAGCACACAAAAATACATTCGAAATCACTCCGATATATATATATATATATATATTAAAGTCTTATTTTGTACTCTACAGTAATTTGTAAATTTAGCTAGAATCATCCGACACGAGAAAAACTGTTCAGTAACTTGACGAATTCTAGTGGTGCCATGACAAATTTCTACTAGGAGTACCGACAATTTCCGATGATAGTGTATAACTATTCAGTCGGATTCTTATTTTAAAATGGCAAATAAATAGATATTTAATAATACTAAACTGTTTTCGACTTATTTTAATAAAATTCTAAATAAATTTCTTAAAAATATTTAAAAGAATTATTCTTAATAGTGTTTAATTGTGTCTAATTATAAATAGTTGATAAAAAATATTAATTACATTTATTAAGAGTAAAAAAAAATCAAATTTTTGGAACTTTTTCGTCATAATTTAATGTAATTATAAAGCAACTTTTGTTGCTAAAAGTAAAGTCAATCCGAGGTCTGAAATTAATTAAAATTAATTATTATCATAATAAAAATTGTTTAACTCACGGCCAGAGATCTTATTGAAACGCTTGTACACTGGCAAAGAATTTAACTTAGCGTAAGCTAGAATCCTAGGGCAATAATACGATGGAAACTTTAAAAAAAAATTGTCTTCCACTCCTTGGAAAATCGCTTTAAAATCATTTTCAATCTAGAAATAATATTTTATTTAGTTTTTTGTATTTAAAAATATTTTTGATAATACGACATTTAAACATTATGACATAATGTCATTTTACCATTTCTCCCTTATAATCCATTAATCGCGGATAAATTGTAAATATCTCACAAAGACTTGAAGTGTCATTCATTATCCAAGTTCTTCTATTCGGAAGAGTTTCCATTAAAGTTTTAGAAATGTCATGTTTGTTACTGTCCAATGGATTTTTAAATTGCATCTAAGAAATCTAGTATAAAAATAATATATATTACAATTGTTGATTTAAAATGAGTTTCAGATTTTTTTATTTATACTTTTGATTCAAGATGTTCCTTAGACAGAAGTGTACTCGGAATCTCCAGCGAAGATGAATTGTTGAGGCGTTCAAGCTTTTTTTTTGTCTTATACTTCTTGTTGTCATGAGGTAGATTTTTGCGCATTGTTCACAATCGATACTCTATGAAACCTCGCTTACTTCTATCATCGTAATAATGTTCCTGTAAATATTATTATACAAAAATTGCTTTAAAAAGATTAATTACAGTAATAGAAATGCATTATACAAAATTATACCAAGATTTATCTGTAAGAGCTGAAATATTTTATAACTTTCATTTACTGATTTAAAAAAATATCCACTTAAACGAAATAACTAAGTTTTTTACTTTTAATTGTTACAATATACTTACATATCCTTTCTTAGAACTTTTATCTTTCAAAAGTGGAAATTCTTCCATAATTGCTTGGCTAAAGCTGTCTTTGATTTCTCTGGAGGATAAGTAAATATAGAAAAATTAAGAAAAAAAATTAATATTATTTTAATTTTTTCAATAAACGTGTATTTAAATGAAATTTTTCTTGAAATTTAAATATTTTAGAATGATATAGAACTATTAAACTATTTGATACAAGAAACATTAAAAGTAATTTAATTTGTACGACATTTAAATTATAAAAATCGTTTGAACATTTAAAACTTCAAAAATGTTAAGATATATTATAATTGGATTACTTGAAAATCTCTTTTGTAATAGTTTCTAAATACTCTAAAAATATTTTGAGGAAATAATTTCTCGATATTCATTATCAGGTAAATTTAACCTAAAAATTAAAATGATTTTTTTATTCATTTTAATAACAATTGTCTTTTGAATAAATATAATTGTTCTTTTAAAAAGTGAAATTGATCAATATTATTTTATATGTATTGAAAGTTTCTTATATATTTCTGGTAAGAGATTTAATTTTGTAAATAAATAAATCCAATAATTAATTTTGTTTAGGTTAGTAATTACATAATTGCATAGTGGATAGTTATGGAATTCAATTATTGAGAAGATTCTTGATAAATATCACCCTTTTCAACAGCATCCAATAATTATTTGATTGTAAGTATATATTTTTTTTGTTTATTATTTTTTTCTTATTTTTTCTAGGTTTTCATTGTTGCTGATACAAGAAAAAAAAATTTATATATAATTTTTTTGCTAATTATTCAAATAGTAAGTATAAAAAAAAATTTATTATTATATTATTTTTATTCTCTTAATAATGTGTTCCCCCCTTTTAAATAAATTTTTTTAGATTCTTATAAAATTCTGTGACGGCATTTTTATTAATTAAATAAATTAATAAATATTTAATTATAATAGATTATTTGCAAATAATCTATTATTTGTTTATTTATTAATTTTATTGAATTTAATGTTCAAATTAATTAAATAAGTTTAAACAACAAAATTTCTTAGGTTATTGTTATTATTTATTTAATTATTATAAACTTGAGTACAATCAATTCACGTTCTAGTCTCGTAAGTGCTAGAATGTCTTTCGTTACAGAAGTCAAGATTAATACTAACATATCTAGTTCTGGACCTTGGTAAAGGTACCGTCCCTTAAAGTGCGTAGGAGGGATGGTCCAGCGATGCTGTGTGGAGGGAGAAGGCTAGACTTGTATTTCTAAGAACTTTAAGTACTTTTTCGTCACAATTCGTAATTACAAAAAGTAAATAATTTGAAAAACATAGCCAAAATGAAATAAAAATAGGAAATTTTTTTTATAATTTAAATTGTATATAATTTGTGTGTTCGCTGACTGCGGAATGACTTCCAATCATGGATATAGAGAGATCTGCATCTTGCACATCTCTCCGCATCCATGAATTGGGACACTATTTTTTTTACAAAAAACACACTCAAAAATCCGCAACTCAAAGGTGTCGTTGGCCTTCATCTTATGCCAAAACATAAGTTCGAAGTTTGGTAGGCGAAACGCCCCCAAACTTTCCCCCGTGTACTCCTTAATTATAGAATTTGCATGGAATTCCTCTTCTAGGAGGGTATTCTTCGTCTAAGCACATAGTGCACAGAGTACTGTCCCTCCTCGATATTGCTCGAAAAAGGCGATCTCCAGATGATAGTATGGTCGATAATTCTCCCAGAATTTGGAGATCCCCTTCGCCGGTAAAGAAAGATTTTTTATCCTCTCCTTTTCATCTTCGATCTCAATAAGATCGGGGATCTGAAAAGAGAGAAAAAAAAATATATCTACCTATATTACAAAAAGATATCGCCGCCAACGCCGCCGCCGCTGTTCCAAGACTCTGAATATAGCCGCAAGTCAAGAGAAGGGGGGGGGAGAAGAGAAGGGAGAGGGGGGGGGACTTGCGGCTATATTCAGAGTCTTGAAACGATCTTAACCATTAAATTTAGGGTGGGGGGAGGGGAAAAGGAGGGGAAGAGAGGAGGGGGGATGGGGGTTGGCGCGCGAAGCCGCTGTTCCAAGACTCTGAATATAGCCGCAAGTCAAGAGAAGGGGGGGTAGAAGAGAAGGGAGAGGGGGGACTTGCGGCTATATTCAGAGTCTTGAAACGAACATAACCTTTAAATTTAGGGTAGTGGTGGGGAAAAGGAGGGGAAGAGAGGAGGGGGGATGGGGGTTGGCGCGCGAAGCGCGCAGGGGGCATAGCCCCCTAGTATATATATATATATATATATATATATATATATATATATTTCTACATATATACGTACACATCCTCTTATTTATTTTTTAAACACATCATTTTTTTTAATTTCTCCCCTTTTCTTTTTTCTTACATAGTTTTGTTCTAGAACGGCGCTCAGCACCTCCATGATGTTTTTTTATCAGAAAAATCACCCCTCTTTTTTTTGAATTATTATTATTCACCTTTTAATAAAACACTTTCCTTCTTTCCCCTTTTTTTGACAGGTATTGCGTCTTAATTTTATATCCTTTGCTGCTATCTACTTCCGTTTTGATTCTAGTAATTCTTTTTATGGGAAAATTCAAATTATCAAAAAAAAATATTTTACCTTCTTGATTTTAATTAATAAATTTGTTTCTCCCCTTTTTTCAGAATAAAGGACTTCAGGACATTATTTATTTTCAAAGGATATTAGGACATTTACTTTCCAGAGGACATCACGACATCTATCATAACTTCAATCACCAAAAAATTTAATGACATCAAGATATCCATCCTCAAAAGGACACCACGATATCCACCTCATAAAAAATTAATGACATCAGGATATCCATTCTCAAAGGACATCACGACATCCACCGAAAAAGGACTTTAGTTACAGTATCGATAATATTCAAATTACATAGAAAGAAACCCTCCCCTTTTTTTTAAAATAAAAAATTTTATTTTCAAGTTGTTGTTGTTATTCTTTTTTTTGACAGTGGTCTGAAACCCGAATCAAGCTGGACAAAACTGTTTTCTCCAAATTGCTTCGCTGAATTTGTATGAAACTTGTTACTCGGGGGTTTTTGTGGTCGCTGAATACGAATCTGAGGTCAGTTTTTGAAAATTCAAAATGGCAGATCCAATATGGCGGACAGAAAGTTTAAAAAATTAACGGATTCTAATGAAACATGTTACTAGGGAGTTTTTTGTGTTGCTGATTATAAATCTGAGGTCAGGTTTAAAAATTTCAAAATGTCGGATCCAATATGGCATACATAAATTTTTAAAAATTAACGGATTCTAATGAAACTTGTTACTATGGAGTTCTTTTGTGTTGCTGATTATAAATCTGAGGTCAGTTTTAAAAATTTCAAAATGATGGATCCAATATGGCGGACAGATAGTTTCAAAAATTAACGGATTCTAATAAATCTTGTTACTAGGGGTTTTTTGGGGTCGCTGATTATGAATCTGAGGTCAGTTTTAAAAATTTCAAAATGGCGGATCCAATATGGCGGACAGATAGTTTCAAAAATTAACGGATTCTAATAAATCTTGTTACTAGGGGTTTTTTGGGGTCGCTGATTATGAATCTGAGGTCAGTTTTTAAAAGTACAAAATGGCGGATTCATCATAAGTTAAGATGTTTGAAATGAGTTGATGAAAATTTCATGTAATTTTCGAAAACTTAAAGTAGTGGACAATTTTCATTAATTTTTATAAGAGTTTAATTTTAAAAATGTTCAGGGTCCCCCCACAGCAGCCAATATTTACTAAAATTTTTGTAAAGATTTCCTTGAAATCTTGGGGATATTTAATTGCAA